AAAAAAAAAAAAAAAAAAAAAAAAAGTGGTCCAAAGATGGCCTTCACTTTTTTGAATCAATGTTGTAGGAGTTTATCTTAAATCCTACCAATCCTAGCAGCTTAATATGAACTTGCATGTACGTTCCTGTAGAAAAACAAATCTCCAATTGGCTGGACGCTTTTGACAAAAGAAAGGCTTGAGGCATAGTTACTGTATTAACGTACTTCTCTAGCACGTTCCGAATTCTGCGCCTCCTTTGATAGTACATTTTCTACAGCTTTCAAGACCAGAATTGCTCCTGTGTGGGGAGGCTCATTTATCTCTCAATCTTTAATCACTAGCCCCCCGTATATGGCTTCCTGGCATCCCTCTTGGCCAAATCTCCAACTCTTGCTGGTATCTGAGAGCCTCTTAGTGCCACACTGTAACAATAGGTCTTCATTCTGGAGAGTTCTAGACAGAGGTCTTAGAGCCAGGTCGAATCAAAATGTCCTAGAAAAGTCTTAAACTATTTTGCTCTAGTTTTTACTGGAATTTTGAGCCGGTATTGAATAAGGCCTAGAAGTTTGAGTCTTAGAAGGTTGAAACTGTGTTTCTTCTCTTGTGTACATGGTTTCCTGGTTTGAAAGAACAATAGAATTTCTGACCATGGCAGATCCAGTGTCTGACCCATCCCTGATTAATGTGATAGAAGACTTCTTTGACACAGCCTTGGTAAGGATGGGGGTGGATTCATCACTGAACAGATACCATTGGTAATTTGCAGGAATCTTCAAGTTATTTATAAAACTTGTGTTTTCTTAGATGTCGGTTTTACCAAGACTCCTATTTAGTATTTAGAATATTATATGAAATTGGGGCACCTGGGTGGCTCAGTTGGTGAAGCGTCCGACTTCAGCTCAGGTCACAATCTCACACTCCATGAGTTTGAGCCCCGCGTTGGGCTCTGTGCTGACCACTCAGAGCCTGGAGCCTGCTTTGGATTCTGTGTCTCCCGCTCGCTGACCCTCCCCCCTTCACGCTCTGTCTTTCTCTGTCTCAAAAAAAAAATAAACATTAAAAAAAATATTATATGAAATAGAAACTATGTAACCAATGCTATGGAAGAAAAATGATTTATTTTCATATATACATTATTCACCTGTTTAAGGATGATATGCTGATTTTAATAGTGCCTGAAGGTCAAATAGGATTTCTCTAAACTTTAAAAAAATTTTTTTAATGTTTTATTCATTTTCTAAGAGAGAAAGAGAGAACAGGGGAGGGGCAGAAAGAGAGAGAGAGAGACACAGAATCTGAAGCAGGCTCCATGGCCCAGAGCCTGATGTGGGGCTCCAACTCAGGAACCATGAGATCATGACCTGAACTATAGTTAGACATTTAACTGACTGAGCCACCCAGGCACCCCGGATTTCTCTAAACTTTTAAGTTTATTTATTTTGAGAGAGTGCTAGCACACCAGCAGGGGAGGGGCAGAGAGAGAGGGAGGTGACAGAGGATCTGAAGCAGGCTCTGCACTGACAGGGGAGACCCTGATGCGGGGCTTGGGCTCGTGAACCGTGAGATCGTAACCTGAGCCGAAATCAAGAGTCAAACACTTAACCGACTGAGCCATCCAGGTGCCCCTAAACTTTTTTCTACTGTATTTAGAGTCAAGTCCCGCCTGTTAGAGAAATATCGGCATTAATGGATTAAAGTTATAGTTGATAATGCTTCTGAAACATAATATAAGCCTTTTCTTTTTTTACTAGGTTATTTCCAGAAGTAGTAGTAAAGGTAAGTATATTATTTGCCACTGATTGACTATCTTTCATTAGTAAAATATTCTGGCATACAGTAAGTAAATATTTGCCTAAATGACCTATAAAAGTACAATAGGTTTAAGTACATGGATGTATTGACCATCTAATGGTAGCCATATTGCAATGCAGAGATTTTGTTGTAAAGTATGTCTCTGCCTTTTATTTAGTTTTAAATATTTTAAATTCCTATTTTTAATAGAAATACAGCTGACATAATTTCAGGTGTACAACATAGTGATTTGACAGTCACGTACCTTATTTGATGCTCTTACAAAGCTGTGCTTGTGACTCTCTGTCACTTGTAACTGGGAGTTTGTAACTCTCAATCCCCTTTATTTTGTCTGCCTCCCCAATTCACCTTCCCAACTCCCCTCCCTTCTGGCAACCACCCGTTTATTCTTTGTACTTGAGTCTTTTTGCTTGTTTCTTCATTTGTTTGTTTGTTTTTTAGATTCCACATAGAAGTGAAATCCTACAGTACTTGTCTTTCTCTGACTTATTTCACTTAACATAATATGCTCTAGATCCATCCATGTTGTTGTAAATGGCAAGATCTCCTTTTTAGATGAGTAATATTCCATAGTGTATATCATACCCTTTTTATCCATTCATCTACTGTTGGACACTTAAGTTGCTTCCTGATCTTGGCTCTTATAAATAATCCTGCTATAAACATAGAGGTGCGTGTATCTTTTCAAATTAGTGTTCTAATTTTTTTTTTTTTTTTTTTTTTTTTTGAGTAAAGACCTAGTAGTGAAATTACTGGACCATATGGTATTCCTATTTTTAGGGTTTTTTTTTTTTGAGGAACTTCATACTGTTTTCCACAGTGGTTTCACCAATTTACATTTTCACCAGTCGTACACAAGGGTTCCCTTCTCTCCACATCCCCAGGAACATCCACATTGGATATTCTTGCCTCCTTGGGTGTAGATTGACTAGATAAGCATGGGTTTATCCTGAGTTTTCTCTTCTGTTCCATTGCTCTATGTATCTATTTCTTGGGCTTGTACCACACAGCTTTGATTACTGTAGCTTTGTGATATAGTTTGAAACCTGGAAGCATGATGCCTCCATCTTTGTTCTTCTTTCTCAAGATTGCTTTGGCTGTTTGGGGTCTTTCTTTGGTCCCATACAAATTTTAAGACTGTTTTTTTCTAGTTCTGTGAAAAATACCCCTGGTATTTTGATAGGAATTGCATTGAAGTTTTAGATCACTTTGTGTAGTATGAACATTTTAACAATATTTTTTCAGTTATATCTTTCTACTTATTTGTGTCTTCAGTTTTTTTTCATTTATGTCTTAGTTTTCAGAGCACAGGTCTATCGCCTTAGTTAAATTAATTCCGAGGTATTTAAAAAATGGAAATTATAAATAGGATTGTTTTCTCAATTTGTGTTTTCTTCTAGTTCATTATTAGTGTATAGGAACAAATTTCTATATATTGACTTTTTTTTTAGCCTGAAAATTTACAAATTCATTTTTTCTAATATGTTTTCTGATTTCCAGTTTCTTTCTGCCTTTTATTAAAGTAATTCCAGGGGCGCCTGGGTGGCTCAGTCAGTTGAGCATCCGACTTTGGCTCAGGTCATGATCTCGCGGTTTGTGAGTTGGAGCCCCACGTTGGGCTCTGTGCTGACAGCTCAGAGCCTGGAGCCTGCTTCAGATTCTGTGTCTCCCTCTCCCTCTGCCCCTCCCCTGCTCATGCTCTGACTCTGTCTTTCAATAATAAATAAAAGTTAAAAACTTTTTAAAAAGTAATTCCAGTATAGTTAACATATTAGTTTCAATAGATTAGTACAATATAGTGATTCAACAATTTTATACGTGACTTAATGTTCATCATGATAAGTGTGCCCCTACTCCACTTATCTCACCCATTCCCCCACCCACCTCCTCTCTGGTATCCATCTGCTTGTTCTCTACAGTTACCAGTTCATTATCTGGGTTTGTCTTTTCCCCCCCTTGTTTGTTTCTTAAATTCCACATACAAGTGAGTTCATCCGGTATTTGTCTGTCTTTCTCTGACTTATTTTGCTTAGCATTATGCTCTGTAGATCCATCCATGTTGTTGTAAATGGTAAGACTTCTTTCTTATGGCTGAGTATTATTCCACTGTATATGTGCCATGTCTTTCTCCATTCATCTATTGATGGACACTTGGGCTATTTCTATTAAGTGGTTATTGTAAATAATGCTACTGTAAACATAAGGGTGTATATATCCTTTCAAATTAGTGGTTTTTTTGGATTCTTTGGGTAAATACCTAGGTAGTGTGATTACTGGATCATAGGGTAGTTCTATTTTTAATTTTTTGAGGAATTTCCATACTGTGTTCCACAGTGGGTACACCAGTCCGTATTCACCAATAGGGCAAGAGAGTTCCTTTTTCTCCACATCCTTACCAACACTTGTCTCTTGTGTTAAGTTTAGCCATTCTGACAGGTGTGGGGTGATAGCGTATTATGGTGCTGATTTGCATTTCCCTGATGAGTGATGTTGAGTGTCTTTTCACGTGTCGGTTGGCCATCTGTATGTTGTCTTAGGAGAAATGTCTGTTCGTGTCTTCCTACTTTTTTAATTGAATTATTTCTTTGGTGTTCAAATTCTCCATATATTTTAGACACTAACCCTTGTTGGGGATAGGTCATTTACAAGTGTCTTCTCCCATTCAGTAGGTTGTCTTATAGTTTCATTGGTTGTTTCCTTCACTGTGCAGAACCTTTTTTATTCTGATGGAAGTCCTAGCTGCTTATTTTTGCTTTTATTTCCCTTGCCTCAGAAGATCTGTTTAGAAAAATGTTATGGCTGACATCAGAGACCTTACCACCTATGCTCTCTTCTAGGGTTTTAATAGTTTCAGGTCTCACATTTAGGTCTTGAGGCCATTGAGTTTATTTTTGTATATGGTGAAAGTGGTCTAGTTTCATTCTTTTGCATATGGCTGTCCAGTTTCCCCAATACCATTTGTTACTAGACTGTCTTTTTCCCATTGCATATTCTTATCTCCTTCGTCAAACATTAAATAACTTTATAATCATGGATTTGTTTCTATGTTTTCTATTCTGTTGATCTTAGGTCTATTTTTGTGCCAGTACCATACTGATTTGTTTACTACAGCTTTGTAGTATAACTTGAAAACTGGGATTGTGATACATCCAGCTTTTCCTTTTTCAAGATTGCTTTAGCTATTTGGGGTCTTCTGTGGTTACCTACACATTTTAGGATTGTTCTAGTTCTGTGAGCAGTGATGTAGATATTTTGATAGGGATTGCATTAAATGTTTAGATAGCTTTGGATATTATGGACATTTAAAAAATGTTCTTCCAATCCATGAACATGGACTATCTTTTCATTTGTGTCATCTTCAATTTTTTTCATTGGTGTTCAGAGTACAGGTCTTTTACCTCTTAGGAATAAACTTAACCAATTTTGTTTGGTACAATTGTCGACGGGATTGTTTTCTTCGTTCCTTTTTGTCACCTCATTATGAGTATATAGAAATGCAATGTATTTCTGTATGCTGACTTTTGTATCCTGTGACTTTACTGAATTCATTTATCCATTCTAGTTTTTTGGTGGAGTCTTTAGGGGGTTTTCCAATATATAGATAGCATCATGTCATCTGCAAATAGAGTTTTAGTTCTTCCTTACCAGTCTGGATGCCTTTTATTTCTTTATGCTGATTGCTGTGGCTAGGACTTCCAATACTATGTTGAATAAAAGTGGTGAGAGTGGACATCCTTGTCTTGTTTCTGACTTTTAGGGAAAAAGCTCTCAGTTTTCCCCATTGAGTGGGATCAGTGTATCCCAGGAATAAATCTTACTTGATCAGGGTGAATGATTTTTTTTTTTAAGTATCCTTGGATTCTGTTTGCTAGTATTTTGAAGATTTTTGTGTCTGTATTCATCAGTGCTACTGGCCTGTAGTTCACCTTTTTGTTTGTTTATCATTGTCTGGTTTTGGTGTCAGGGTAATGTTGACCTCTGGGGATGAATTTGGAAGTTTTCCTTCCTCTTCTAATTTTTGGAATAGTTTGAGAAGAATAGGTATTAACTATCCCTTAAATGCTTGGTAGATTCCCCTGTGAGGCCATCTGGGCTTGGAATTTTGTTTGTTGGGAATTGTTTGATCACTGATTCAATTTCCTTGCTGGTAATCTGTTAAGTTTTCTATTTCTTCCTGATTCAGCTTTGGAAAGTTATGTTTCTAGGAATTGATCCATTTCTTCCAGGTAGTTCAATTTGTTGGCATATTATTTTCCATAATTTCTTATAATAATTTGTATTTTTGTGGTATTCTTTCACTTGTGATTTTATTTAGGTCCTTTTCATTTATTTGGATGAGTCTAGCAGAGATTTATCAATTTTGTTCTTTTCGAAGAACGAGATCCTGGTTTCAATCTGTTCTATTGGTTTTTTTAATTTGTTTTGGTTTGTTTCAGTTTGTTTTATTTCTGCTCTGATCTTTACTATTTCCTTCCTTCTGCTGGTTCTTGGTGTTTTTATTTCCCCCTAGCTCTGTCATTTGTTTGAGACTCTTCTTCTTGAGGTAGGCCTGTATTGCTAGAAACTTCCCTCTTACAAGAGCTTTTGCTGCATCCCAAAGATTTTGGACCATTGTTCTCACTTTCCTTTGTCTTTTATTTCTTCTTTAATTTATTGACCCATTCATTGTTGAGTAGCACGTTATTTAACTTCCCTGTATTCTCTTTCCAGATTTTTTTGTGGCTGATTTCTAGTTTCATAGTGTTGTGTTCAGAAAAGATGCATGGTATGATTTCAGTCTCTTTTGTATTTGTTGTTTTGTGGCCTAATATGTGATCTATTGTACTTGAAAAGAATGTGTATTCCGTTTTAGGACAGAATATTCTGAATATATATATCCGTTAAGTCCATCTAGTCCAGTGTGTCATTCAAAGCTACTCTTTCCTTGTTAATTTTCTGTTTTGATGATCTGTCCATTGATGTAA